ACATCCTTGTTTATCACCATTTGTGACAGTAATGATTTCAGTGTATTGCATATTATGCCGCTTATATTAAGTTATTTTTCACCAGATTAAAATTTTAGTTTCAGAGTAAATTGAGAAAAAACCTTCTGAATCAAGCATATTATCAGTAGGTTGAAATAGGAACACACTCTCGTCAATGTTCAATTCAAAGCCTGAAAGTTTTTTTAGATCTAAGTAGTTGCAAAAATGCTAAAATCAATCACATTAGGGGAAACATTGTGTCTTTAATTCATTTAGCACCATTTAAAATAAGCACACAAAGTTATATGACTAATATAACTTGAAATTTTTTTATACTAAGGGGGTGGTGATAACTCCTGAGTGTTTAATGCATTAATAAAAATCAACTTATGTTCTACTTGTTTTCAGTGTGTTAGAAATTTTTAAATGAAACTGTAGACATTTCCTCCTACTTTGAAAACTGAATGTCAGGGCTGAATGAACCGAAGCCTTTAGAAGTACCTGCATAGAGGCCAAGGTACTCTCTTAAGCCTAACAGCTACTTACCCATTACCACCACCTTTTCCTTTTGCTGTATATGGTTGTGGCCTACAGTATTGTATTTGTTATTTATCAGGTTGTGATTGTTTTATTATTGTTTATGCCAAATGTTAATTGCCAAGCTTGGAGTGACCTAAAGCATTTTTTAAAAGCATGACTAGATTTACTTCAGGATAACTTATGAAAACCAAATTTGAAAAGCCACAGGTGTTGATTGTTATAACATGCTGCCATTGTTGATTGCTAGAGCTTCTGTTAGCACTTTAGATACAATTGAAACTACGCTCTATTACATGTGAAAAGCTTAATAAATTCTGTCTATCAGTAATATAGGTCTCAATACTTATTATGAGACCAATGGTCTGGAAACAACTCATTGTATTAAATAATCAACTGGTGTCTATGCTAAGAAAACAGTTGTGTAACCATCTGCTTTAAATCACTACTTAATGCTATCAGATTAATATTATAAATTATTTCCTTGTAGAGGCTTTAAGGTAAAGATTGTCGAAGCATTGTCCTGGAGGAGTGGATCTGTAGAAATTTGTTTTATAGGAACATTATGGTTACTCAATATAACTGTTAAATTATTTTTTCTACCAATTAGTCTTTCAACTTTTTGTCACATCTTCTTTTCATCCCATTGTTTCTTGGGTGTCCTGCCCTGTTACTATCTTTTCAACAAGGCAGAATAGAATAAGATAGCAGTTTTAGTTGGGTGAAATATCCTCAAATCTCTTTACTCTATGGGGAGAAATGACAAATGGGTGGACGGTGGAATGGGTGTATGTGGGTATTGGTGATGGTTGTGAAAGAAGAAATCAGAGAATCGCTTTTCTAGACCTCTGCCTATACTTATATAAAAATGATTTCATCTGTTGCATGAAATAGAGGCATGAATAAAAATCAGCTTATTATGTTCTACTTATTTAAGACTACTCTGCCTCTGAAAAGCAGTAGCAAAAAGTAGAGGGAGGATAAATTTAGAAAAATAAACACGGGTTTAGAAATATTATTCAAAATGATCTTTGTGGGAGATTCAATATTAGGAATTCACAGACAGATAAGAAATTTGGAATATGGAAATTACTAAGAACACTGGAGAGAGGTCCTCATCGCTCTCTCGTGTCTTGTGTTCGATACATAAGAAAACAGCAACTGGTGAGTGAAATCGCAGATATCTGAGGATTCAAGAAGTGTGATAGAGGAAAATAATCCCTGAAATTATCCCCCTTTACAAAGGAATGTCCTTGGGAAAGAAGGCAAGAATTCTTAGGCTTATGAGACCAAAGTAACCAGTGGAAGAAAGTAGATCTCATTGGATTATCATTTTAGTAACTCAAAGAAACTACTGAAATAGAGAAAAAACATGCTTAACTTGGAATGACTATTTCTGGATCTGTTAATCAAGAAATACACTGTCTATTTTTTTGTATAGTATTTGAAAACAATAAAAATTCTTTAATTTGGGTATGGGTTCTTTTGTATGTATTACCTGTCTGTCGAGGAAACAAGTGAGTCCATGACAGCTTCTCTGCAGACCCTTCATATCCTGGATACGGAAAGAACCATCAGCAGCTATACGGATTCAGTGTATGAAACAAAATTGAAAAGCTACATGCCAACTACCAGAAGGCATTTATAAGTGACCGTTTGCTGTGTATGTGCCAGAGGAGATGCTGCATAAGGCCCCACGTCAGGATCATGTTTCTTTATGGCTCATAAGACACAGATGAAAAGTCAGATTTTTGCCCATAGTGGAGAGACATTTGGCCATTAATTAGTGACTGTCCCATTGTAAGTGGATTAATTATAGAGACCATGTTGGGTTACAGTTAACATAAAACATTGTCACGTTTAAGTAAACCTGCACACCTTACATTTCACAATTTCTGTATTCTGATTCTGAAATCAAAATGAACCAAAATCAAAGTGAGCCGAAAGAATTCACTCTCAGTTTGTAAGCCCCCAGAGGGCAGGGCCTGCATGTGCCTATCACCTGCCGGGATTTCATACTTAAATAAATGCTATTTGACGACTACAATTCTTGCCAACTCTCCTATGTAATTTCGCTGTCACTTAGGTTGCTTGGTAATGTGATTATTTTAATTTGGTGGTTTTCCTAGCACACAGCAAAAACCAAACACCATGTTGTTGTTTGAATATTTTTAGGCGGGTGTGATCTTTCACTTTAACACTCTTTCAACTTTGTGCTTCAAAGTTTACCGCTTGGTTGCTAGGATTAATTCTCTGTTCTTCTTTCCCAGTGTGACTATTTTCTGGTCTTCTCTTTTTCCAAGTCCTTAAATGTTATCGCCTCATCCCTAGTTGTCTTTTACATGTTCCCCTTAATCTTATTTATGGCTGAAATGACCATCTTTGATACTAATATGTCCTCAATGTATCACTAGCCCTATCCTTTTTTCCAGGTTTTCATGCATGCTTAAGAGGCATGAATTTCTAATCTCCTCCTCGTCACCTCCACCTAGCCACAAATAGCCACTATTTATTGAGCTTTCAGTAAATGTTGGGCGTGTTACACTCACTTAATTCTTTACTCAGGGATGTGGCGGTGTCATGTTATAGATAAGATCACAGCCCGTAGACAGGGAGCCAGGACTTGAACTATTTTCTATTCACTTTCCTTGCCTCCGCCATTATTGATATTTTTGCAAAGTGGACTAACAATTTGCAAGCTAAAGAGGAAAAAGGAGGCCTGTATTTTCTAATAAAGCAAGAAGGAAAGCATGGTTCAAGGAGTAGAGCAGCATCAGAATCCCTAAGGTGCCATGAGGGTGTGAAAACACTGCCATTCGAGCTGATGGTACAGTTGGTGCTGATGCAGGCAAGGACAGAGTGCAGACATCTGCTGAGCTGCTCAGTCCTTCACGGTCCCTCTCTGATGCTTCTGCTGTGCTACCAAAGGTGGAGAACTAAGCTTAACTTGAAGTCAGTTGATACAAACTTATACATTAAAACTTTCAGGATCTGTCCCCAAATGCCTTTTGTCACAATCCTCAAGGAATTCATCATCTGGCTGAGGTAGGATGTAAGTATAATACATCTATTGAATTTTAGCGGTGAGACCTTAATAATCGTTCTGTAGGTACTGATTGAGTTAAGTTTACAAAACACTTCCTTAAATTTAGCACAGGGCCCCATAGCTTGGTTTTACAAGTGAGGAAACCAAATCAACAATATCAAATTGGCTTGCCTGAGATCAGGATTGGAGTCAGGGCTAGAATTAAGGGTTCTTAAGGTCACTGGCCAATGTCCTTTGCAGTTTACCACACTGTCTCCTGAAGGGAAGTATAAATAGCAACAGCCATAGAGAATACTGCAAAAATGTCTTAGGCAAGACACATTAATGATCAAGGGAAATAAACAGTTTAAGTGCCAAGAAGGAGAACTGACCCAGAGTAGAATTTATCTTATGCTCTCTATTGATTTGTAGGGATTATCCTCTGGTTGGCTAGTAATAATACATGGTGCCTGATTCACAAAACTACACATCACCCCGAGGTTAGCGTACTTTCTAGTGTTGTGTATACTGTGTATGCAATTGATAAAAACAACAAAAAGACTTAAAATCCGTAGAAAAAGGCATTATTAAACTAGGGGCTGTGGTCATACATAAAAAGTCCTTCTAAGTACTTGCAAATTAACTAGAAAGGTGCTTGCCACCTCCCCCCAAAATAACTAATGGAGGATTAATATAAAAACGCTGGGTTGAAGATGGATGGACAGCTTAGTTAGTAAACACATTTTCACGTCTAGTGTTAGGCTCGGTTTTGAAGAGGGCGGGCAAATTCCGGGAATTAACATTGGGAGAAAAAAGGGAGACAATCGAGAGAGTGGCGGCCCCTGGTGGGCCCTATTTAGGCACATTCCAAAATTTCTTAACTTCCTAGAAGCTCTCTAGAGGTGACAAAAGCATCTCAGAAAGATTATTCCTGTAAAGTGTGTGGGCTGAAAGAGGAAGGGGCGAAGACAGACCAACTTGGATCCAGGATTTCACAGATGTTTACCGAGCCCTACTATGTGCCGGTGTCAGGGATCCAACAGCAACGTTCGTGCGCTCAGTAGAGCTTACAAAGTTGGGAGAGTGAACGCTAAACAAAATTACTATAAGCGAACTATATGGCATATTAAGAAGCGCCAGATGGTACAGAGAAAAACGGGGGAGCCCGGTAGCGTGTGTTTGGGGTTCCAATTCTGAACTAAATCATCCGGGAGAATCTCGTGTTTGAGCACAGATCTCAAGAGCGGTGGGGGGACGAGGCTTGGGGCCACCCGGGGAGAGGCCCAGGCGGCGGGGCCAGCAGGTGTCGCATTACCAGTTTTCAGCAGCACAAAGCCTAATGGAGGCCCAGGAGGACGGAACTCCAGAGAGTCAAAAATGCTTTCCACGCAAAACTTGGCGGATCGCTGCGTGCAGGGCCACCAACCATCTAGGCCACCACTCTGCTTAAGCATCTCGGGCGCCACACTCCCACCCTGCACCGACTAGACCACGCCCGCCGCGCGTCCGTGCTCTACGGCAAGGGGGCGGGCCTCTCGTGGCTCCGCCCCGTGCCCTGCACGCTTGCGGAAAGGTCGAAAGTCAGAGGTCGTGCAGCCATCATGGCGGCGCTGTGTCGGACCCGTGCCGTGACTGCCGAGAGACATCTCCTGCGAATGTTTCTCCTCTCCCGGCCCTGTCGAGGCGTAGGGACTGAGAGTGCCTCCGGGAGCGAGAATTCCGAGCCCACGGAGCCTAGCACGCGCCCAGGCGGCTTCGCGAGCGCTCTGGAGCGGCACTCGGAGCTGCAGCGGAAGGCGGAGCTCGGGCAGACGAGAGTGAGTCGCGGGAGCGACGCCGGCGACGCGGTGGGCGGGGCCGGGAGCCGGGGCGGAGCCGGTGTAGGGGGTGGGGTGGGCCGGGAGACGGGGGCGAGCCCCGGTGTCGGGGGTGGAGCCGAGAGTCGGGGCGGGGCCCGGCGTCGGGGGGGAGCCTGAAGTCGGGGCCGTGGCCCGGCGTCGGGGGTGGAGCCTGAAGTCGGGGCCGTGGCCCGGCGTCGGGGGTGGAGCCTGAGGTCGGGGCGGGGCCCGGCGTCGGGGGTGGAGCCGAGAGTCGGGGCGGGGCCCGGGGTCGGGGGTGGAGCCTGAAGTCGGGGCGGGGCCCAGCGTCGGGTGTGGAGCGGGCAGCCGGGCTGTCTCTGGGTCCGGCTGCTGGCCACGTGGAACAGAGCGCGTGGTTGGTGTTTTCCCTCCATTTATTGCGCTTTTGTTCCGTATTTACACGCTGAACGTGCGCTGTCCGCACTCTGCTCGCATCTCCTTGGGACGAGTGCTGGAAGGGAAGCCAGCAGGGGGCGCTGCCAGCGAGGCGCAGTAGGGAGACTCCCGGGACTCGGAGGCCAGCGGGGCTCCCGGCGGGGAATTCAGGGCGCTCTGCTCGTCTTGTTCTGCGCAGTAGCTCCAGCGTGGAGCTCGGTGTGTGCGGTGCAAGGCTCTTGATAAGTATTATTTAATTCAGCGGAGAGGTGAATGAGAGAATTACTGTCTCTGTGAACTTGAGCAAGTCATTTAACCTGTCAGTGCTTCACTCTCCTTTTCTGTAAATGACCTTTTTTAAATATAAAATTTCCGTTTGTCTCAGGCAGTACCTTTGTATGATACGATAGGATTGCTAGGTAAGTGAAATGGAAGAAATAGGCATAAATACAAGCCAGAGTTTTTTTTTTTTTTTATTATCGGATGCAGCAGAAATGAAATTGGATGTCTGGCAATATTAAATTATATAAAAATAAACTCTCAATTTCTGTACTTATCTCCTTGGGGACCGGTACTAAACAGTTCACGGGCTGGTAGTATCCTGAATTATAAAAAACTGGAATTTAGTAGGTAATCGTTAGTAGTTATCATTATTGACAAAAATTTCCTAAAATCCAAGATTAGGACAAGCCTGATGTATTCGTTTTCTATTTGCTGCATAGCAAATTACCGCTAATTCAGTGGCTTAAAAGAACACAAATTTATGATTTTTAGTGCTGTGGGTGAGAAGTCTGATAGGGTCTCACTGGGCTAAAATCAAGGCATGGGCAGGGTTGTATTCCGTTCCCTAGGTTCTGAGGGGGATCAGTTTCCTTGCCTTTTGCAGTTTGTGGAGGATGCGTGCATTCCTTGCCTCCTGACCCCCTTCTTCTGTCTTCAAGGCCAGCCACGGCAGGTTGAGTCCTTCTCACGTGACATCACCATGACCTCTCTTCTGCCTCCCTCTTCCACTTTTAAGGCGCCTTGTGCTTGCATTGGGCCCACTCAGATAATCCGGGATGATCTCCCTGTTTTCATGTCACCTGGTTGGCAACCTTAATTCCATCTGCAATTTAATCCCCCTTTGCTATGGAAGGTAACCTATTCACAGATTCCAGGAATTCAGATGTGGCCATCTTTGATGGGAGGGCGGGGGCATGATTCTGTCTCCCATACCTGGAGAAGTCATGAAATCCCAGTGGAATGCTGGTGACTGACCTGAAGCCGTCTAAGGGATGGCTTTTGGATCCATCCTTGGGGAAAGGCTTGGAGGATTAGGTGCAGTAAGGTGGGAAACATAGATGTGATTCATTTCCCTTCCCCCAAAATACTTATGAGGAAGGGAATTTCTCTATTTCTCACTCACACCCCTCTCCCCTACCACATATACCACATTCGAAGCACCTTCAGAAACCCCTAGAAAGTAATTCTCAATTGCTGAGTTAATTGTGGCAAGAGTGAAAATTGTAGCATCACATGGAGAGTGTTTGAAACTCAAAACACTTCCCCTTTTCCCTTCCCCCTTCCGTTTTTCCGGGAGGAGCCTGGGGTGTTTCCTGGCAGTCCCAGCACGTCTGTTAGATTTGCTCAGTCCAGCTCAGGCTGAACGGAGGAGTCTCTCTAGGCGGTTTTCCACCTAACACAGTTTAGAAAACATTATTCTGCTGGAAGGAAGTTAAAACGTGTCTGGTGGCATGCGGCTCACCTGTCCCCTGTGCACAGTTTTCCCACATCTTGGTTTAATGGAAGGAGGGCAAATTCCCTGGGAAGGAGGGTACTGGGAGGCTGGGCTGTCGTCTCCATTCTCGGAGCTCTTAGCTTTGGAGCGTTTTCAGTTTCGTGGCCTCCTCCCTGATTCATAATTGCTACCACTGCCTCCACTTGTTCCCTGGTCCAGGTCATTATACTCGCTGTGGACGGAGTCGTCTTCCTAAAGTTGGGCTCAATACAGACTGAAGGAGATGATCTTTTGGCTTTGCTCGAGAGTCTTGTCAGCCTTCCTTCACACGGCCTACCAGATTAAATGCACATCTCTTCCTCAGCGGGCTGCCACTGCTCAGGACGGTGTAGGGCCGCAGTCAGAGCATAGGCTCAGTGTCTGGAGGCTGGGATCCGAGGCTGAGTCAGCCGTCTTACTAGCTGAGTGTCTTTGCGCGAGTTTCTTAGCCTGTCTGAGTTTGCTTTCTCATCTCAAGGTGGAGATAATGCTCTGACTGGGTTACTGGGCAGTTTACGTGAAATAACACGTTTGCAGTGCTCTCAGCACAGGGACTGGTGCAGAGGAAGCTTTTACGCGGTACATTTTCACCTGTATTTGGCTCTAGTTGTTTCTCCTCCCACCTCCCACCTTCCGCCTCCCAGAAAATAGTTTCACAGAGATGCTTCTAGGCTGGCACAGATCTTTGGATGAAATCCCGCTTTTGCTCAAATAATTAATAATAATTAAACTTTAAAAAAACCATGCACATGCCATTCTGTTTAATCCCAACTTAAGGACATTTGTAATCATTAGTATGTTAGCTTGTGGCTCCAGAGTGACATGTGCCTACTTCAGAGTAAAGCTGCTGACCTTTTCTCCCCACTGGAATGTCAGTTTCAGAGGGCAGCGGCCTTGTCTGTCTTGTTCTGCTGTGTCCCCAGCGCCTAGCACAGTGCTTGACCCTTGGTGGGCACTCCGAACCGTCTGCCCAGTGGGGGGTGAATGACTGCTAGGTACAGCGCACGTGCCTGGGCTGTCTCTGAGCTGAGGTCTGTGTGGCTGCGCGCGGACCACTGTACCGTGAGAAGAGCACAGGCTCGGGCTGCCAGTTAAATGCGCTCGTCCTGGGGAGTAATTGAGCAAGAACAAAGGTGAGAGGAGCAAGACAGCTGGAAACACCACATTATGTTTAATTTTAGTGTTTATTGGCCATTTTCAGTGCTTTACTGACTTAGATTGTGATGAGGAATATGAGCAGCTGATAGAGATTCAACTTTGTGAAAAGCTTTCCCTTTACTTGGTGAAGTTTCTGCATCTATTTAATTGAAGAGTATCCTGCAATTACAAGATGAATAAAGCTCATCTTTATTGTATGATCAGGATTCTTGAAAAAAATTGTTTACAAAGTGTAAAAGTAGTATTTGCTTACTTTAGAAAAAGAATTTAGATGGCGCTGAAGGTAGTCCTGTGAAATGTGAAAGCCCTCTTTCTGTCTTTCCACTCTCTCAAGGCTGGAGAGTGTAGTTTTTTAAATGCATACCTCCAGAGATCTTACATATACATATATAGATATAAGCCAGTTGTTGGTAAATATACTTAAAACCACGCAAATTGGTTGGTACTGTTTGAACTGTTTTGTGAGTGTAAGCTCTGGATTCAGACAGTCTTGGTTTGGATCCTGGCTCTTCTGTCATTTACTAGCTGTGTTACCTTGGAAAAGCGCTTAATATTTGTGTATCTTCTTTGCCTTTTTTGTGAAAGGAAACCCTGTGTCATGGGGTTATTCTGAGATTAAATGAGTTCATTGTTTGAACACTTAGCACAAGTGCCTGATACTTAATAAGCGCTCAGTATAGTTCAGTTGCTGCTGCTGAAAATTGCCATTTTCACTTAAGTATAACTTTGAGTATTTTTCCTTGTCATTACATATGTGTAGTGTGTATATACCTCGTTGAAAAAATATTTGCTTGATATTTCGTGGTATGGATATAGCGTGATTTGTTTAACCAGGCCTTCGGTAATGAGAACGTAGGTGGTTTCTGTTTTGTTTTGATATAGACAGTGCCACAGGGAGCATTTAGAGTGTTTTGCATATTTTTGGGCTATATGCTGGGTCAAAGGGGACAGGCACTTGGAATTTTGATGGACGCGGTCTCTGCAGCGCTCTCCCCCTTGCAGTGCATGACAGCGTGTCTCCTCCCTGCTTGTCCATGTGGGTGTGACAGGCGGATTGTCTGATATTGGGCAATCAGAACAAAATGCAGAAATTCGGCACGGGGGTTGTTATTCCTCACCCCTGATACCAATTTGTGATTTTTATCAAGGGAACTGCATGTTCCCATTTTTGACTTCATAATAAGTAAATGCTGTCAATCTGAACTCATAAAGTACACTTATGTTAATAAAATACTACATTTATTGTTCTATATATCGGGGTTCTATGTAAGATTTCATTTGTAACTTGGTTTCTGCTTAAAAATATCTGCTTTTTATAAATGTATGTTTTTTGAAGATAAGCAGTTCGCTGTTCCCTAAACCAATCACTATTTCTTTATCTTTGCTCTTTCCCCAATTAGCTTCCCTGCCTGCAAATTCCATTGTAAAAATGGGCTCTTTGGTTAGGCTCCTGTCATCTCACCAGCCAGATGACACTGCTTTTGAGTGCCCTGGAGCCTTGTTTTATCCCGTTACGGGACGCGCACAGCTCTTCAGTTACATTTAAGTCCTGTATGAAGCTGTTCTCTCCTGTTTTCTAGATTGTGCTTTCTGGAGATCAGAGGTGGTTTTTTATTCTGCCATTTGATTCCTTGCATAATGCCTTACACATAAGTAGGGATTAAATATG